CTCCGGATTTTGTTACAAAGTTGCATGCATTGTGGACGGTTCCTGTGTCCGATTCAGGAGGCTATACATGTTATCCTTACAAAAATAACATTGTAATGAGACAAATGTCACTGCGCGTCCTCTTATTTGCTGATAACTCGGTACTGTCAGTAGCTTACGAAGGACGTGAGGTCTGAGCATCGGCTGTTATTTTTATGCGCTGATGCATATACAGATGTGTCAAAAAAGCAGTTCTGAAATGCGGCCTTCGCAAAATGCCTGCGGTGGTATTCACTGGCGAATGAGCAACCCATAAAGCTTAGGCTCTACAAGTAAGATGTGAGGAGGCGCCATACTCGTCCTGTAAAGACTCCTGCTTTTTATTTAAATAATCAAGAACTAAAGACAGGGTCGCCTGGGTCGATCCAACGGTAACGATGACTTGTATGGTCGCCGTAAGAGGGCACGGGTAAAGGAACACCCTGCTCACATGAAATAGGTGGTCTTGAGATAAATTTCATGAAGGGTAGATATGTCCGTGTCTTAACTCTAAGGCAAACGCTAACACAAATATAACTGTCAAACTCTTGGCGCTGGCTGAGGTGAAAATATTTCAGAGAAAAGTTTTATCCTGTAGTTAAAAGGTTAACATCAACAAAAATGGTTACTTACACGTAAACCATCTTACCACAAGGCCTCCGATTTATAAGTGAACAAATAAAAGCGGGTATGTTTTAAAATTGATCCGAAATAATCTACTAGATGCACTGACTTTGGAAACCCAATACTTTGATTCATTTATATTTACGACTAACAGAAAATGACGCTAAAGGCGTTTATTCTCTATGCTGTACTGTCGTACATGCCATTACCTACGCTGAACTAGTTCCAGTCCTGCAATTTTTCGGCAGGTCTGATTTCCCGTGAACATTACATGAGTTTATGAAAAATTGTGACATAAAACCCCTGTTAGTCTTCCATTTAGCAATCTTTCTACTCTGCCCGTCTCAGAAAACTACACATTTGATTACTGAGGCCTTATTATAAAAATAAATGCAGTCATTTTATTTTCATCTGAAAATTTGTTCGCAAACGTTTTTCAGGAGTCTACTGGAAGAATTAACTATCTTCTTTAGACTACAGCAAGGCTAAGAATATACACGAATCAACGTTCTGGTTGTCACCAGTGACAAGAATCTAGAAGAAGACAAGTTTTGCCAAAATCCCATCCTAGTCTTATGTTCTTTTTGAACCTGTTCCTTTAAAGTCACACTTGCTTTACGTCCGTTTACAGGCCTTTTCTTGTGAGAGAGTCAGAAAAGTATATAGCAAGTTAATCGGGATATTTGGTTGCAGTAAGGTGAGCACAGTAAAAACAGCGTCTCCTTCATGTGATGCAGGTGGATTTGAACTAACTTGCAGGAAAAGTAAATATTTCAGATTTATAACCCTAACCGAAATCTCAGTCGTAGCCCTAATCTTAATCTTAACATTAATCGTACCCTTACTCCTAAGTCTAATCTTAGTCTAAGCCTTAACCTTAATTTTATTAAAATATAACGCAAGGTAGCCCAGATAATTTGTGTACGGCGTTCCTGTTCCCATTATCTGCTGGGTAGGTCGCACACGCTATCATAAAATAAACCGAAAACGTAAAGAATATATTCCCTGACTATAACACTTAAGGCGCCTTCAGGTTTTGTGCAACGGGCTTGAAATCTAAGACAGGGTTCAAAGGCTGTAACAACCTTGTCGGTGAAACCTGTTGCATTTCGGCAACTGGACAGATGCAAAACCCGGTTGTCAAAAATCAGGTTATGTAGGTAGAAGATGGAAGTAAAGAGCGCAATTTGTTTTCTATTACTTGTTGTCGAGATAAAAACCCTGCAATTATCTTCTTTGAGTGCAAAACTGGTAAATGTTATCTTCGAAAAGAAGCGCGAAGACATTCTTATGGTCCGTTGCGTGGCCACAAAAGAAAGGATAAAGTTTGGGTTTTTGTTTTCTTCTTAACCATCCCTTCTTCCAAATCCTCCCATGATTTCTAAAATGACAACCACCACTTATCAAGTTTAGATACATGTTCCTGGTCTCTTTGGAGGATTTAAAGAAACCATCTTTCAGAAAGAGTTCTTTGTTACGGCGTTGGCTTCTAGCATGACAAGGGGACCATTTTTTTCTCCAGAACAAACATTGTCCCCACAAGATAGAACAGGCAGTCCTACTATTTTGAAACTAAACAATGGAGAAGAAATCTGTAGGACAACGTATTTGACGAGGTAGCGGATTGAGCAACATTCAGTGAGATTTTATGGGCATTGTTTCCCAAATTAGAAAAGTTGTGCCTCCGTCTTTGTGTCCTTCTATCAAATTCTAGCAAAAGAAAAAATGCATCATTGTAGTTGCAGGCCAGGCTTGTTGATTACTGTCAACGAAAGCAGAGCAATACATTACCTAGTGGAACAGTTATTCCGCAACATAATAAAACTCTTTCGAAGGCAGAAAACTTTTTCTTTTGTATAAAAGTAATTTATCAAATGTTATCTTCACTTTAACATTTTCTCAAATGCTACGTGTACAGAAAAGAGATTTGAATATTATCAAGCCAAAACCGCGAATATATTCAGCCAGTAGTAACGCAAAAGTAAAGTATAGTGTATCTTTTTTGGAATAATAATATACTACTGTTATTGGGCGAGTTTTAGTCAACGCATATTCTAATGAATTCTATTGCAAACTGAACGAAACGACATTACATCGACGGACTAAGTTTGCTTGATAAAATAAGGGAAACCACAGAAACCATTTTATTTTGCTGTTTGTGGAAGTTAAATCGCCAATTTACAAGTGACAGTCAAATTCGGCGAGAATATAAGGAAAAAAATGGGTCATGCTCCGTCTTAATAACTCGATTTACACAAAGGATTTCTAAATTTAAAGTAAATAAACGACCGTAGCTGTAGGTCATACTGATTGTAATGATTACTTATCTTCATGTGGAGACCAGTTTAAAAAAGGATCTCTCCGTGATTGTGCAGTCTTGAATCACCATTGCTTCATGAGGTAACAAAAGTTAGAAATAATGAGTCATCAGTAAAGGTGAAATTGACAATGGCTAGCTAATCTAAATAATATGTTATGAGATTAATAATCTAAGCAAGTTCCAGCGCACCTGGTATGAAGTCTTAAATTTTACCATCGCGATCAAAAGAACTGATTGGACTAGGGATCACGGATCATTGCATTTTGTCCAAATTCTTCGGATTGTATTTGAGAGACCGAGGCTGGCATCCATAGCGTTTCAGCTTATAAATAAATGAATCTATATTTCAAACGCTCAGAGGGCGTAAAATAATAAAGGGGCAGAAAACGGTGCTCCGAGAGAGTGGCCAGATATATAGTAGAATTCGGAAATAGTGCTATAGATTGTAAGCAGATTTTTTCACGTTTGCCGGCGAGCTGTTCTTTCCATAAGGCGCTTTTGATAATAATTTATACAAACTCCAAATTAGAAGTTTTTGGAGTTTTTTTGCTCAGAACGAAGCAGAAAAAACCCCCCTGCAGCGAAATTGGAGGAGAGTGCAGAAAGCCTCTACTTTAAAAAAATAGAACGGGAGAGGTGGTTTATGAAAACACCGTGTTTTGTAACGTATACGATGCATGAACCGAAAAAAAGAGGTTTCTCATCAGAGATCGTCACACGCGGAGAGGGATAGAAATGTGGTTTCCTAAATTGCCGATGGTCCTTCCTCGTAGTCAGAAAAAAGTTGTTTGGGAACGATGTTGAAAAAAAAGCTTGGAATAATTAACACGGAACTCCAAACCGTACTGACCTCTAGGTTTTGGGTACCGTTTTTCGTTGAGAAACACGCGGCTTTTGTTACATTCGTTGTTTTTCAATCGGCAAGCCTTTTCTGCTGCGACGTTTGTAATCAGACGAGCAGTTGTTTCATCCTTCACATTATGAAAACACATTCATTTACCGTTTATACGTAACCCATATGTCCTTCCTTTTTGTTTTCTCCCAGAACGAGACGCTTCACCTACCACGAGTCAATCGGTTCGATCGAGGCATCTATCGATGTCATGCGGCAAACAACGTCTTTGGCTCCACCGAATACGACGTGATGCTGGAGGTCAACTACAAACCACAGATCCGATTGGCTCGTTACAAGGGAGCCTATGGTCAGGTAAGTAGCCATTTCGTCTAAGGGCGGCTTTATATGGCTGTTAGAAGAATCACTGTCTTTAAACAGTTATTTTTTAAGAAACTTAGCAGGAGGTTTAAGAGATATTAAACTAAAGAGACCAAGTACGAGGCTCGCATGTTGTGGTTAGCATAAAAGTAAATAATTTTTGATCAATGAACTTCTCGTTTTTGGGTTGATTATTCCGAACATTTTATAAGTAGACTACGTTTTATTTCTGTTTTAGTCATCTTAAAGTCTTGCATGCAGACTCATTTGGATGTCTATTTTCTGCCGGTAACCTTACGCATAAAATGCGCCCAATTTACAGAAAAAATATCTGACAAATCATTGGCTGGCCCAATTGCATCGACTGAACCTCCTAATTAATAATGAATGGCTTTCAGTTTTATGCAACCATAAATGAATATGAATGAAATGACTATACGTGCGTTTGTTATTTCCGCTTCTTTGCAAGCAACTCTTTATTTCTAGCCAAGTTGCTGCAAAAAGCGGAAATAACAAAGGCGAGTATATTCATTTCAAACAAGTAAACTCGATTTGTAAAAGCATCTGAAATTTACTCATGAAGCAAGGAGTATGTAAAACATTAAACACACAGTAATGCTTTAAAAGTTATTTTCCTGCGCTGCTGAAGTAAATATCCTCAAAAATTGGTGTTGTATGCAGAAGGGCACATATTCAAATGTGCATTGTTCAATCCTGTGTTAAGTAACCTCCTTATGAGAACTGGATGTACTTATACCTGCATTTATATTGGCTAAGATGTGGTTGATTAAAACAAAGGGAATTCGCCTGACCAAATGACAGGGACATCAAAAGAATAAACATTTTCAAAAGAGCCCATAACACAAAACCAGTTGGTACTTGCAAATTTGGACAGAGTTGTTAGATGCGCTTATAAGAATGCCATTTTCTTTGCTTCAATTGACGCACTTGCAATACGCGCCAGAGTTTATGCAACATGCCGACATATGCGAAAGATTGATACTCTTTCGCTAATCGGCAT